GATGTTGTTTTTGAAGTGGTTGTTGTGGTGGATGTTGATGTTGTTTTCGAAGTTGTTGTTGTGGTGGATGTTGTTGAAGTTGTTGTTGATGATGATGATGTAGTGGATGTTGTTGTTGATGTTTTTGAAGTTGTTGTCGTGGATGTTGTTGATGTTGTTGTTGATGATGTAGAGGATGTTGTTGTGAATGTTGTTGATGATGTTGTTGAAGTTGATGATGTTGTTGATGTTGATGTTGTAGTTGGTTCTATTTTACAAAAATAATTTAAGATTGAGACTTAACAATTGGATAATATTTGTCTGTTAATTTATTTCTTTTTCTTTAAGAATATATTGAATTGAAATATGTATTGATTATAATAATAAAATAGAAAATATTTAAATGATTTTGATTAAGTCTTTTGTTATAATAATTTTTGAAAATTCAATTCATATTTCTTATAATTTTTAAAAGGGATGCGTGAATACAGATACAACTTGTATCAACATTTTATGCATGTAGATCTGAATAGACATACATTTACGTATACTCTTTTATTAGTATATGTATCGATGTATCAGATATATGTCGGCACATGCATAGATGTGAGTACACGAATGTATGAATTCTCATAGTGTAAAAGAGTGATACAAGTTGTATCTGTATTCATGCATTTATGTCTCAAAGATATATTTTTTTCTAAATTGCTTCTATTTTTCTACTGACCCGGTGGAAATCGTGTTCCACTAATAACAATCATACTAGTGGCATCTGCATCAGCCAGAATATTTTCATTTCGGTTCAGCATGTCGGCAAATAATGCACAACTTGAAGTTAATCTATAAAATGTGGCTGCATGGCATTGAATTTGAGCTAAACAGGCTACTTGACAATCCTTAATACTTGATGTAGTAGTATTAATGAATGGTAAACAGGTTGTATTAGCACATTGAAATATACAATCAGACATTAAAGACATTTCCACGAATCTTATATCTTCTCCTACTGCTTGTGTAATAATCATAAATACAAGCCATACGTAAACTCTTCTTGAAGCCATCACAAAACTAAATTGTAAATTGTGGAAATGAATTTAACTCGCAGTAGAAGACTCAGTATTTATTGAGCAATGAATTCTATTTTTTTCTCTCTCTTTTTCTTTTTCTTTTTCTTTCTTTTTCTTTCTTTTTTCTCAATTCATTTCATCAATCTAAGGAAAAACTAGTCCTGGGATTTTTTTATTTTAAAGAAATAATATCCATTCAGAAAGATAACATACCGGTATTCAGATGTTATTCGAGAACAAATATATTGATAAATAGATCTTTTGAGTCCTATGAAAAATGAATAAAGATAAAAAATATTCACCCAGATAATTTTTTCCTTATTTTTCTTTCATCTGTATGCAAAAGAAAAAAAGTTAATTGGAAATTGTTTTCGATTTTTCTTCAAAAAAGAAACGATGGAAACAAAGACGTAATAAACACATCTAGGTTTGTTGTAATCATAATAATACAAAGTGTGTTGTTTTACAAAAAAAGTACATCCAGATAAATAATCATGGCAACTAGAAAACAGCATCTGTACGATTACATTAGAAAAACTATTAAACAGTTGATGACGTCTTTTCTTTTTTTTAATTTTCTGTTGGAGAAAGATATTCTTTCAAAGTTTGAATATATCATGTACAACGGCAAAATATATGATTTTTTTCTGCTTTTCTCTCTCTTTCTCCGTCGTTTTTTTTCTCAGTTCATTTCATTAGCATAGTCAAAAATAGTTGTAAGGACTTTTTTTTATTTTCTAAAAAAATTTATCCATTTGTAAAAATAATTGCCCTACGTGTTTAAATATTTTTTAAGGACACATATATTCATAGGTAGAATTTTTGAGTTATATGAAGAACGATCGATTCAACAAGATTGAATTTTCAAAAGATAATGTAAACAACATCTAGTTTAAGATGAAATTTATTTATATGTTCAAATCTGAATATTTCAAATTTATTTCATAGATTATACAATATATCATTCACATTTGAGTAAAGTCGATCTTTGATATCTAATGTCTGTTAAAATTATGAAATTAAGGTTTTGTAGTATTATAACTTTGATTAAATAACTGTTTATCATAACAAAACATTCTAACGTACTTTTTTCTCAATAAAAAAATATTCATCCAGTAATTGTTTGTTTTGGTTTTCTTTCTTTTTCTTTTATGTGTATGTTGTTATGATGTTCTACGTATACAGAAGAGGAAACGATGGAAACAAAGACGTGATAAACACATCTAGGTTTGTTATAATCATAATAATACAAAGTGTGTTGTTTCTCAGAAAAGTACATGTAAATAAATAATTATGGCAAGTAGAAAACGGCATCTGCATGATTACATTAGAAAAACTAAACAGTTAATGACGTCTTTTCTTTCTTTTAATATATTTTATCGAAGAAAAATATTCTTTCAAAATTTGAATACAATATACACAACTTCAAGATAAAGAATTCTTTTTTTTCTTCTTTTTATTTTAATGACATTTGATTATCTATTAGAGAATATATTTTAAAATCGAATATATTGACAATCCAATATTTATCTAGAAATTTTATATCAATTGATTGTTTATAATCCATACTTCAAGAGTATATTATGATTATATCTATTACTTTTATTGTCATAAAGAAAAAAAGATCAATGATAATTGATTGATTAATAACAATTCTAACCTATCTTAATCGTGAAGTGTCACTTAAAAATAGAGTTAATAACTATACTATAAATGACAATTTCTCTCTAAATATTCATTAGAATTTATAAAACGCAATATTTGATGATCAAATAGATCAAATAAATATGAAATGAGAAAGGTATATTATATTTTTCTATTTTCTCCAGGATTTTATGATATAAATAAAAGAGTTTATAAGTGAAAGAAAGATATCACCAATTTATATATTTAAAAGTCGTTCTGAAATTAAAAACAAAAAGAAAAGATTATCGAAGCAATTTCATAATTTTGAAATAATGAAAAATGTATTTTAAAATACAAATAAATTTTCTGATAAGATAAATAAAAATATAATAGAAAATATAATATGAAAAATCATAAATAGAATATTTTACTGATCTCAAAATTGAAAGAAAAAAGAAATATTTTTTCAATTAAACAATTTTAAGTTTATTTCATTAGAACTGACTCCACTTTAAATTTTCATATAGTTTTTTCACATCGAAGAATTTCAATCGTAGTAATAATTTTTATTTTATAGTGAAATAAATGATTATGGGATAAAAGTAAAATACCGACAAATCTGATGAATGCTTTCAGATAAGTTTAACAGTCAGATCTCTCAAGATAAGATGAACATCGGCCTCTCCAAGCGTAACGCGATGACGTTTTGGCTACAGTTTTATTGACTTTTCTCAACAACTAGATAGTGTAGGAGGCTCATTGTTTCGGTGAAAGATGTACCTCTATCATCTACACAATCTGTGAAAATATTATCTGATTTGAACAAGCCGTTTGAGAATTACAGTAAAAATATACCACGAAACGCGATGATGAATTTGGGACAAAAACTTGAGGGTGGTATGTTTGCTATTCATTTTTCTGCGAATCTAGACTTTTTCGAACACAACGTTCTAAAGACTTTTTGTAGTAAACAGTCTGAGGTGTTCAATGACTAGAACAATTTTTCAAGTTAACTTCTAATTCTGAGCATAAATATTATTTTTCGAAGTAACGCGATGATGCATTTTGTAACACGATGACGGTTAGTTTTACTAACAAGATTACTTCTATGCGATCTTTTGCTACGAGTACAACTGTAAAGTCAATACAATATTTTTTTTAAATCTATATCATGAATAGCTGTTAAATATGATATTTATTAATAATGTCAATATGTAAGTGATGAGAGAAAAAAAATAAATTAAATACACCAATATAATAAGTAACAAATGGATATAATAAAAATGAAATTAAAAACTTTTTCATTAATACAATAAAACAATCTATCAATATAAAATAAAACAAGGTTGAAGTATATAACACAAACTAACTATAGTACATATTTAATAATCTTATTTCAAGAAATGATCATAGTAAAATAATCCCGCTATATGTTAAAATAAAATAATAATTGACCAAGTGACAGTTGAATCTTATATACAGTACAATTTTTCAATTTGAAAATCGATATGTCTTTTTTGTTGAACTATTCGAATAATATTTATATTCAATTGTATTATTTCCAATTACTTTAACTGAATGGATCTTCTTCGTTTCTGGTACTGTTCTTGTTGATTGAAAAATGGGTTCCATTTTTGTTTTTGATTGTTCAATAAGACTTTCTTCTAACTCAAAAAAATTGATACTACTGGTCTTTGACTGAGCAATTTTCACAAAATCAGCCGCTGAGCGGCATTGTTGTCCACTCAATACTGCTTTGTACACAAAGCGTTTGCCTGTTCCACCAATTCCATCGACCACCCCCTTCCCATGAGAGGTGGCGAAGAAATTCCATGATAATTCAATCTAGAAAATTTAAAATTACATTATAATCAAAACTTGGTAACGGTATAATCTAAATATTTACTTGAAAATCTTCAGCTAAACGACAAAGATTTCTAAACAAGTATTTTTGTTTAAACTGTTGGGTTGCACCATCAGAGAATACATGAATTTCCTTTAATTGTTGACATTGTTGTTTTAATTTAGAAAATAAATGTTCCAATGCCGTGCTGATACAATACTTGTCATGTGTAAGATTATCTAACACATAAACAAATGAATATCCTATATTTGAACACCAAGCATAACAAGTAATTAATGAAACTGCATTTTTTGAAAAATATGCACTTTGTATAGAGTCCTGAACATCTATTCGAAAATTTTCACTGAAATCAATTTGTAAACAAATAATTTCATTATTTGAAATTGTTTTCATTTTTTCAAAATAAGATGCTTGTTGACGCTTGATAAATACATGAGTTAAAAATTGACCAATTTTTGATTTTAAAATTGCTAAACAATCTTCAACTGTACCATTAAATTCAACTTTTCTTGAATAACCATCTTTTAATACCCATTGATACCAATTAATTACTTGTGTGGAATCAATAACGTATTTTGCTATATTATTGTTAAAATTATTTTCACACAAGGAACATCGACCAAACATGCAATTTTCATCTGTTTCACAACAGACGAGTGCTGCTGAAAATTCCTGTAAAGATTTTAAACCAGGACATCGAATGTATTTTGACAATGGTTTAATTAATAAATTTACATTTTCATGATAAGAACATAAGCAATTACGATGTGACATATGTGACTGGAGTAAAACATCTAATGGTCGAAGATCATAAAATGATGTTAATGATAGTTTAGTATTTGCATTATCATATTCGGTTAAAAATAGTTGATAAGCTTCTCGTATAGTTAATAGTAGAATTCTCTTTTGTACTGTTGTTGAGTTACCATTATCATCTTTGATTGAAATACAATCACGTTTACCAGGTAACTGATAACTAATGTCATCACGATGATAAAATTCTATAACTAATTTTTTTAAATCATTTGGTAATGAACGTTGTTCACGTTTATGACTAGATGTTGTTTTAGGAATAATATTAAGTTCTTGTGCAATATGACGTATCACACTAATGCATTTATTTGTATCTTTTGGTAATGATTCAGTAACACGTTTTACTGCTTTGCCAAATGACTGCCGAGATTTATATGAAGATTGTTTATTATTCATACGTTCAAGTTTTTTTCTTTCTCGATATTTTTTTGATGCTTCTTTTTGTCGACTACGTAACTGTTGTAATGCATCACCAATTAAGTTGTGTCGTCTTTTATTATCACGAATACGAGATGCTTGTTTCATTTGATCATATTTTGATTTGTTTTTCAATAAATTTTGACGATAAATTTTTTGCTTTTCGGCGTTTGATTTTGTCATTTATTCAGTTAATACAATACCAATGATATATGTTAATATTTAACGAATTTAAAAGATGTTGGATATATTGCAATTAATAAAAAGTTAATGCTGTTTTAAAAAGTACAAAATCAAGATTATTTTTAGAATTGAAAATGAACAGGCTAAGTAAAACGGTCAGTTTATTTGGATTGGTAGTTTTATTTTTGTTGTTCATGATATGTTTGGACCAATCAGCTATATTCTTATGAAAATTCACAAATAACCAATCATAAAATCCATTATCTATACTGAATAGTGATCTTTGAACTGTGAATTACTACTCGGGATACTCCGTTCTTCAATATACAAAAATCATGTAAAAGGTAAAAAACGTCATCGTGTTACGTATGGCTAATATAAAACCGTTTTTTTTTCGGAAAAAAAGACCTGCATCAGATAGCCCATGTTAAATTAGCTTTAGGTCATCAAATTGTATTAAAAAAAGTTTGACTGGAACAAGCAGAAAAAAACAATATTCATTTATCGTAACGCGATGACGGTATAAATTTGGTACATTTACTTAATATGTCTGTGACAGACTGTGAAGAATATAAAATCGGTTCTTGTGCCAAATAACACTCTTATTATCCTAGAATTAATTGCTCTTAAACACCTATGTATATATCAAACTGTAACGATACAAGGGCTAAATTACTGGCAGCTTGTATATAATCATTCTTCTCTGCATCTTAGTGACATCTTTATTGTTAACTGCCAAACATGATTTTCAACACTTATTCAACTAACAAAATACATTTCTATACCATTTAAACCATGCTCTACAAAGTAGTACTAATGAATTAGTGAAATGTGTACTTTGAACTCTTGGTCATTGAGTTGACGCGTTACGCGTTTTAGCCGACATATAGACATCTTATCGACAATTTATTATCAATCCCTGAGGAACATTTCCTCTTATTACTAAATCATTATTTTGGTACAGATACGAATGACATGTGTGATTATATGATAATATTAATACGTATTTCTATCAATCCTTCTCATACACATCCACATCCTTAAATAAGATGAAAATTGTTGAGAATATTCGACTCTTTCTTAAAAAATCAAAACTACACTCTAAATAAAATAGGTGCTGTACTGAACTCTCAAAAAAGGTTTCGTCGTGAAGAAAAAGTCTCCAAACATGTTCAAAGTTTGAAAAACACAATAAAAAATTCTACGAAACCATTAAAGGATCTTCCCGTGTGTCGGGGGGAAGAACCTTCACCCACGAAACCTTTTTTTAAGTTCAGGACACCAAAAAAAGGTTTCGTAGTAAAATACGAAACTTTCATGGTTTCGTATTAAACTACTTAAGAACATTAGGGTTTAGTACGAAACTATAAGGGTTTCAAATGAAACTCTAAAAGTTTCGTATTTCACTACGAAACCTTTTTTTGGTGTCCTGAACTTAAAAAAAGGTTTCGTGGGTGAAGGTTCTTCCCCCCGACACACGGGAAGATCCTTTAATGGTTTCGTAGAATTTTTTATTGTGTTTTTCAAACTTTGAACATGTTTGGAGACTTTTTCTTCACGACGAAACCTTTTTTGAGAGTTCAGTACAGCACCTATTTTATTTAGAGTGTATTTCAAATTGAAAAATATGTTACATCGTTCTTTTGTTTGATTCATTATAGAAAGGCAACATCTACCGATGAAATAACATAAATGCATGAATCACATGTTTTGCTAAATATTGTTGAATAATATCAAAATAGATATGTAAAAAATGTCACTTATTTTTGATGAAATATTTAAACAAAGAAAGAAACAAATTAAAATTGATGTATTCATTTATATCTTTAACGAAGAAAAGCGTATCGAGTATTTTATCTCATTATTCTACGAGGGGGTGTGGGCGTGACCGACAAAGAAGATAGTACCCACACTCACGTATCCACCTAATCGCCGTCTTCAGGGTGTGGGTGGGTGTGAGTGTGGCGCGGATGTGGATGTGAGTGTTGATGTGGATATGGCTGTGGGTGTGGATGTAGGTGTGATAAAAAAGATACACCCAAACCTACATCTACACCCACTCACACCCATCCTTCGTAAAGGGTGGTACGAAACGTCATTCACCCAGCCTCTTATGCTGTATGACGATTGTGTTTCCGGAATTAGACAGAATTGATTCCGAGCCGCAGCTGATTTCGTAATATTCAACCTTTCGGTATAGGATAACTGCTCCTACATCCTCACGCTCATCTACTTTTATACCCTCCAGATGGATTCTTGAGACTCTTGAAGATCTAGTGAAATCCAGAGGATCTGCTTTTATCCCCCTAAGTAAAAAAATTCTATCTTGAAAGAAAACTTCATTTTCTTACTCTTTCATTATCTAAGATCTATAAGGCCAAGTACGCGTATGAATGAAACTACTATCTTGTTCAGAAAGTTAGTCATACAGCAGAGATGTTTTTCACAAAAATGAGCTGTCTACAGCAAACATCACTCATCATCAATGATAAATCAAAGAATTTTATTTTATTTATCAGAAAAATGAACAAAAAGACATTGATCAATGTCTTTTATGCTTTTAATAACATAGATTTAATAAAGATGAATACTTTCTGCTAGAAAAACAAGCTTTGCTATATTATATAAAAGAAAAAAAGATAAATATTCTGAATTAAGTATACAAAAACAAAACAAAATTAAATACAATATGAAATCATATATAGACAGGCACCTGAAAAAATAAGAGATGAGAAAAAAAGCTGCTGATGGTTTGATGATGAATACAATTCATATACGCATAAGCCAATGACGTACTTATGTCGTGCAATAAATACTCATGCGCAATTGATGAAGTGCTTTTATATGTGTGTATAAAAAAATATAAATGATCGATGAAAGAAAATTTCTTTTGAAAAGGCATTACAATAACACGCTCACTAAATTAATCATCAATCATGTTTTTTATTTTTTAAGATTGGTTTCCATTTTCGAGTCACTTTATAAAAATAAAGAAGATCGGTCGGACTAAAACCTCTTGAGGGTGGGTGTGAACGTAGGTCTCAATATATGGTATACATGAAAATCATACCAACAACCACACATCGAGATACAGTTTTTTTTATGGTCGGGGGCAGAGAACAATTAACAGACTTGATTTTACGAAATTTTTCTTTTATTTTAATAAAGTTATTAGTTAGAATGAAGAATTCTCATATTTATTTAATGAAAAAGAATCAAGTAAAGATTAATTATTGACTTTTAAATTCATGATGAACAATTATGATTAGCAAATTATATTATAAAACCAAAGGATTTTAAAATCAAATCAAATAAATGCCTAACTTTTAGAATATTCTCGAAATATTTTCATCATATATGAGTCGGTTGTAGTGAAAAAAATCGTTAATCTCTCTTCTCTAATAATATAAAAGAAAAGGAATGAGAAATACATGAAAACATCTCTTATTCAAATAATATCAATCAATTTCAAAGATTTTATGATAAAAACAAAAATATTAATTCAAGCCAAATCAACAATTTTCTAAAAGCATATTGAAAGATGAATTAAAAATTTCTCTCAAAAAAGAAGATATTCAAAGACGAATGGAATAGGATCTTAGAGCTTGATGAAAAAGAATATATAAAAACATGAATTCACTCAAAAACTGCAGAAGCACTGAGATGATGAATATCAATTCCAATAATTCTCAGAACTAGGGTCAGTGAATGTTTTCATATCAATACATGTATCTTTGTCGCAGTATGTGATAACATATTGTTTCAGTTTGAGAACATTTTGTACTCATACTCATGAAGTCCCTGTTGAACGGCATAAAAGTTCAAAATCTGATTTATAATTGTATCTAAATCATTCTTGTACCTTTTTTTTCTATCTGTTAAACACCTACGTATATATTCTTTATTTATTCTAATCTTTTATGATTGATGAATCTGGGAGAAAAGCATGATTTTACTTTTTCTAACATTATTAGAAATATTTTCATTTATTAAGTCAATGATAGATCCGAAATAATAAATAGCATGTTTTTTTGTTTTCTCTTAAACTTTTTAATAAAGTCTTCATTCATTAAGTTTATGATGAATAATCTTATCAAATAGAGAAATTCTTTTCTCGTATTTATGCATCTCGAATTTTGTTTTTCTTCATTTTGATTCTAAGCCGACTCAAGTAAGTATTTGATATCAAAAACTCTCACACCATCATGATATGACTCTATAGATATTATATTGCCTTTAAACCTAAAATACTGATATTTACTGTGACACATTCACATTTTCATTCTTAATAATCTACTTTCGAAAAGTATGAATCAATTGAATATATTTCATCTGACGAAAGAGTATGCTAATCCACATTCATAGCTTCACATATTGGAAAACAATAAAAAATTTAGATAGGAATGCATTCGAAAGTCTAGCATTTATCACGGCAACATGTCTTGTCGCGCATTCCAGCGATTGATAACTGTGGTTATATACTTCTCAAAATCTTTCTCTGTTTTGAAAATTTCTCTGCAACGTTACTATAGTATCGTATTCACTTCAGGAATATAAAAACATATGAATTTATCTTATATTTATACTCACTACTTGCTGTCATCCCCCTCACCATAAAGTGTAGAGGTAACAAGGCTTACCTGATGATACTAAATAAGGTATTGAGTAGAAAACGGTTCTGTTCATATGAATTGAAGATAGTGGTATCTTTTTGATGATCTGATCGTGCCAAAGAAGTATCTGGACTACTTCGATAGGATCAGGTTGCTAAGATAGTGTGATGCCTTAGTGGAATAGACAACAGTTGCAATAACTGGCAGCAAAATCAGATTGAGTCTGATAATACTATCATCGAGACCATTGATCATGTTCCATCTTCACATTGTTGTATCAGTCACCCATTACTTCGCCATTTCATCGAGATTTTGGTGAGAGTGAGAGCGAGGGATGTGGGTATAGATGGGGCTGAAAACGAGAATATGGATTTCACATTTGTGGGCCATGCATTACGAAACTGTATGATAGGAGTGTAGATGTTATTCATTCATGTTCAATACTAAGTTTAGTGGGAAGTACTAGATGAATCGCAACAAGTTCGGTGTATTAATGAGTTCATGCCGGAAATGAATTACCAAGTAATTCAAAACTTTCATACATTGTATATATAATATGTGTATGTTATCTATAAATATAGATGTTACATGTACATCTATATTTATATAATTACTATACATTTTTTAGAAAAGATTCTCATGGCCTACTACGACCTACTAGAGACTAGCATGACCCATAGCTCCTCTCTCATCCATCGCGGCATGATGCGCCCTTTGAGAGTATAACAGATTCACGCACAAGCTCACACTCACAGACACATCCACACTCACACCCATCCTTCATTAAAATGAATTCAATCCGGATACATGAAGTCACGAGAGTTAAAGAAAAAAGTGAGACAGAATGCCTTCATCAGATAGATTGAATATTGCCATATAAAGTAATGTATGCTAGAAAAAAAAGAAATAAATAATGTTTTCTCCCATTAGAATGCATCCTGTTCTGACATATAAAGTCTTGAGAATTAAGGAAAACATTGAGAGAAGATGCTTGTCTTAAATAGAATGAATACTGATGTATAAAGCGATGTATGTCAGGAAAAAAGAAAAAGGTAAGTTTTGTCTCAGTTTTAATATATCTGTAGACACACACATATCCTTGTCAGTGAGGAAAAAATGAAGAAGGCAAATACTTTCACAGAGTTTCTTACTTAAATGCTCCTATATTCTCTGGAAGGATTCTATATTGATCGTTATCTTCTTTGATTTTTGCATCATTTGCTGTTTTCGTTTGTGCTTACGAAAGATTATTAATTACAACGATGTATTTACATTATTATCATATGAATTGAGGGTGTTTTCTTTTTTTTATAAAAAAATCTTTTGTTTCAAAGGTATGATTTAATCTTTATTGTTTCAGATAGTTTTTATGTAATATTAAAGTAATTGTATTTTATAAAATAAAAATTCTATGCAATGAAAGTTTTTTTATATCATCTTTTTCTGAATTCTTTTTTAGATTTAATTTCATAACATTACACGTTTTTGACGAAGCTTTACAAATGGAGAAACAAAATAGAATACGTGTTTGTGATATAGTTTATTATAGAAAAAACAAAAACTAACTCGTTTTTTTTTCTTTACTTTGTAGCCTGAGTCAGTTAACAGCGATATAAGCGAAACACAACCTGCACAATCGACGAGATCGTACGTGTATTGTGAGCTTTAGTAAATGAAAAATATTGTTTTTGTTTTAGATGTGTGTGCATTCGAAGTAAATGGACGTGGATCATATTTATTATTGTGATAATAGCGATAATTACTATTCCAACAGCTATTATTCTCACGAAAAAGGAAAACGTTCTTGAAACAACAATAATGATGACAACAACAGCAGCACCAGAATCAACAACAACAAAAGAAGCAGGTATGCCAATGTTTAAAGAGAGATAAAAAGAAGTTGATCAACGACTTACAATATCTTATAACAGACTGTTTAATGAAAAAACATCAATCATATATTGTTAGTTGATTCTTACTTGTCTAATCTGATTGAAATTCCAAATAGTTTATTATTTTTATTATTCTTTATAAGAAAGAATAAATATAAAAACTCTTTCTTTTTATAAAATAAAAAAAGTTTTTTTCTGGGAAGTCCTGTTTTTTTCTATGTAGCTTACAAAAAAAGTTAGATGCCATAGATACAAATGAAGTATTTGAAAAAGCTTTTTTCATATATTTTTTCAAGTACCACCTTTATTTTTTTTGTGATATCACATGAAGATGTGAGGGTAGTGATAAGAAAGAATATCGATTATTATATTCTATTGCTCCGCTAGAGATTTGTCTCATTATCTATTATAGAAAAAAATCCTTTTTTATTCTTTTTTTTTGGAAATATAAGGATTCTATTTATGTTTATTTGATAAAATAAAGATAAAGCACTTTCTTTAATTCAAATAATAGCAAGGATCATAGATTAACGAATGATGGTATTTCTGATGATACTATCTTCTTGTATGAGAATGTGTTATTTATTAGTTTTCGTTATTTTTACTGTATTTGACTTGATGAAAACTAAATGGTCACTTTGATGAATGTGTACACGGAGCAAGTCGAGATGTATATTCTTTTGTAAAGAACTTTATTGCTTGCGATGGGTGGGGTGTGGATGAGAGTGTAGGTGTGGGTATCGCAGACACAATACGCACACACCCTCACCCTCACATATAAATCGAATGATTACTATATTCGAATGTTCTTTTCTAGTGTGGATACTTACCGGCAGTATGAGCAGTGCACGAGTCGATCACACACAAGTCACATTGACAAACGGAAATGTCTTAGTTGCTGGTGGAC